CCCCAAAACCCCAAAACCCCAAAACCCCAATAAGGTAGGCCTCGATGGAATGAGATAATAAAGATTAACTGAAGATTATAACTAGAACTTAATTTCCTGTCTTTTAGTCTGCATCTTTGAGTTCTTAGACTTTTTCCTGGCCTCTTCGAAGAGTTTGGCAATGTTGTGGCCTATAGATCATGAAGAGGACTTACTGTCGTCAGTGGTGATGATCTTGATGCTTGAAAGATCAGAGTTTACTCTGTGCGTATTGTAGGTGTTCCCCATTCGTTGTTCTAGAATAGTCCAGAGAATACTTACGCGAAACCTCCTGGATTGGCTGCACTCTGCTCGTGGTTGTTCCAGATTTCTTCTTGGCTCATTTCTGGCATAATGAAACTAACAAAGCACCTATAGGGCCTGAGCTGGAAAGCTTACCGATCATTATGAAAGTGATGACCAATGAGTTTGCAAGGATTATGTAGCAGAATATGTTTGTAACTGTACTTGACCATTCATCAACTTTATCACAGATAATCATTATCGATAGCAGAGTGGTGTAGATTATTTCGTTGACGATTTCGATCAGGTTGTTCTCTGGCCGATCGAAGGGTCTCAGAGTGACGAGGCTCAGTACAAAGAGTATCTGGACTACCATCATACCAGCAGTCAAATACACACACTCGAGCCATGTGAATGTAAGTAGCCATATCACGAACATGGTTCTTCTCATTAAGCCCAAGAAAGGATAGATCCTTGCATATCTGGTGTTCTTGAGTCCAGTGATGAATTCATTGAGCTTATAGTACTTGTCAGGATCGTGGAAGTCCCTCTTTGAGTAGAAGATATAGAAAGAAAGAGCAATTGTTCCAACTCAGACAGTTAGTATCAATACTGAAAACACCATCGAGATGATGTTGGGAATGGTTTCAAGGTCAAACTTAATAACTTCTGATATACAGCAAATGAGCAACAGCTGGAACCCTCCAAGTACTAGTCTGATGTAGATTGTGAAGTTGAACAGGTCAATTATCAAAATCATCAGGTAATTCACACTGCATTTATTCTCGTTTTCATAGTTCACTCAGAACTTCAATGTCATCACTAAAGGATACAGAGCCAGCATCAAGAGCATACACAATACAAATCCAAAATTGTTGAGCAGACTTGTGCTTGACTCCACTCCAATGGTTTCAAGGTAGGAATTGTCTTGATCGATCTTGAGCCAGTCCATGACTTCAGGCATCTTCGGCAAGGCTCTGACTGGCAATACATCTAGATTAAACTGCATGAGTTCATTTCCAAGAATCAAAGCTTTGACATCACCTGGAAATGGTGTCTTGGTTAGCAGCAACAACAAAAATAACTGCAGTTGGTTTACAATAGACCAGATGGCTGCCAGAGATGACAAGTTAAGTAGCGACACCCCAACTGTTGCACCAGCACTGACTCCTGAGACTGCCTGTGACCCAGATGACATTTGCTGGGCGCCTTCTGAGACTTCGAAGATTGCATATGAGTATCAAGTGGTCGGATTTTTGAGTTCGTAGAGGTCTTCACATGTCTGTCATTTGTCATAGTCAGATGGATCTCATTCTTTGCAGTGCTCGATTACACACACTCTTCACACACTTGGGCCTATACAATGTGGTATTTATTTGAATAGTTGTAGAATGTTACCTGTGGGAGTCTGGTTTACACACATAGACTTGTCTTCAATAGTTCAGTTGGAACTACATCCATCCCCACTAAACTATGAGTTGACACTTACTCTGCAAGGTTGGTGTCGTCTCAAGCTTCTGACCCGAGTCTGAGTCCGTCTCCACAAATAGGTTCTCAGACGCTTGCAGCAAGATTGGTTGAGGTGCAAGTATAGCCTGTTTCTCTCGCACAGTTGCTATCACACCCGTCACCATCTTCAAGGTTACCATCATCACAGGAAGTAGTGAGATCATCACTTGCAAGCAAGATGCCATTTCCACATACTCTTGAGCACTGAGTCGCTGTTCCTTGGCCAGTTCAAGCAAAATCTGTTTCAAAGGTTCAGTCAACAGCTCAGCCATCGCCTGCGATAAAGTTTCCATCATCACATTGTTCTGAGCTAGCCTGTATACCATCTCCACAGATAGCTTCTCAGGTTTGGTTATCTATCCCATAGCACTGGTAGCCTGACTCTACAGTTCAGGTATTACTACACCCATCACCACTGTCATTATCTCCATCATCTCAGGCTTCACTGGGAGAGGATAACCCATCTCCTCAGATTGATGGAAATCAATTGTTCGGAACACTGTTATCTCAGCTATAAGTGTATCCTAGGAAGCAATTCTCATCTCAAGAAACACTATTAGTATTTATACTGTTGTCACCTGAGTTGACTCCGATATCTCACTCTTCAAGAGCATTGGTGTCTTTGGTTCCATCGCCTCATAATGATCCATAAGCTAGAATTATAAGCAAAGACTTACGGTTCAAGACAACTGGAGTGACAACGACTGTGTAATCCACAGTATTACTCATTCTTATACTGTGGAGTATAAACTCCAATGAATATCAATAGTACTTTCAGCCAACATGATATGGTTTATTTCCAATCCCTAACCCATGGTTATTTCCAGTAGTATGACCTTTGAGGAAGTGGTATTCGCTTGACCTAAATGTACTACCATTCATGGTCATTGCAAATCTGTTCCATCCTCCTAGATTTCACTACAAACTCCTTACTTTTGATAGAAGAGCTGCTTTTCGTAGCTTTATTTTTGAACATAAGATGAAGATTTGAAGGAGCTATTTTAGAGTAAGTATTTCATCCAGTGCTTTAGCTCTGAGCTGAAAGAGGTTTTAACTTACTGGAGAGGAAGACGAATTTTACCCTGTTCAGATCAGTGAGCCCACCTGGCTAAATCTTACAGTAATCTTTTACCAAAATCTGGGTTACATTCATATCAATGAAGATGGCAGATCCATATTTTATAATGTAAACCCATGTATCTATTGAACAAAAGTTGTCGTATTCAAAAAGAGGAAGGCCAATTGAAAGATATCTAAACAAGTAATCCAAGCCAAATACTCTCCTTGCTGAGTGAAGTGAACTCCCTGATCAATTCTCTGAGGGTGAGTTGATACATCCGCTAAAAGTTGTAATATTCAGAGTAATTCTACTCACATAATTTTAAACTTTGTCTAAAAATAAAAACAGACTTTTATTCCTAAAAATAAGAATCTGTGGAAAAAGATTCTTACTATTCTTAAAATTTAGAGTTTGCAAATTTGACAGAAAATGATTGATTTTCCTTGCTCAAGTGGAATTGATAATACTTACTCAAGAAATCAAACGTTGGGACTCCTGTTTCACCTTCATTGTTGAGGACTTGGAGTGTAGATTTACTGTACATTTAGAATCCAACTTACGGTAATCCGCTGAATTGGTACGTCAGGGTCCTATTGTGCAATAAGGATGCTAAACTTACTTGCTTTGGAAGCAAATTCACTTCTGTAGCAGCCATGCCAAAACTATGATGTGGCAGATATTATCTCTGATTCTCATCTATTTTTGGAATGTTATAAACTAGTACTAACCCTTGCTTCAAAGTACCAATCTAATCTTAAACTATGAAGAGGCTGTCCTCCAAGTCATGGATGCCTAAGCAGCACATAGAAGGCAATGTCTAATATTCAAGCACAAAGATCTCAATGAGAGCAAAAGTAAAAGCCCACTATAAACCCTTTCTGAGGTTTAATCCATACTTACCTTTATTTTTATTATATCAACTAAATCCCTAGGACACGGGGTTTTGGGGTTTTGGGGTTTTGGGGTTTTGGGG